GAAGTTCAGCATACATACGACGGTGTGCTGTGCAGTGCTTCAGTACAGCCAGAGTGTGTGCGCGCTCAAATGAGCAAGGGGCGTGCCGCACATCCGCCACAAGACAAGTGATGGAAATTCCTTATTTCTATCGAGGGGGCCCAAATATAGGATGAACACTTTAGGCTTCTTACAAATTGGTTCTGATTTTATGGCTCTGGGAGCATGATGGGCAGAGTTGACCCCTGGCCGGAATTTCAACTATTATCTTTCCACATAGGCTTTCGTGACAAATAGTATCATTGATGATTGATTTTTGGGTTAAATCGCAGAAGTAAGATGTGTGTTCTAAACCCTCCTCCACCCGACACAGCCAAATGAAAAAGTTGTCACGCGAACAATCCTGGCAACCGACTGATAATGCAGGTTGTTACTATCGGGCGAAACTTCGTGCCTATTTGGTGACGATTGTGAGATTACACTCCAACACACCAGTGTAGTGAAGTAGTAATAATGCATTGGCACGTTTGTTCACGTGACAACTTTAGTGATTGACTGTGTCAGGTGTTGAAGAGATTAGAGCATACATTTCACTTATGCGATCTGACCCAAAAATCTATTATGAACCGTAACATTCCAATCGTCAGTTGAGTGCTTAGCGATGTTGCCGTCAGGATAGATTTATACGTGATGCCTGGTAACACTTTTTTTTACTTATTGTGCAAATATACTCCTGAGATAGACTTTGTGTATGGTGTTAAGGGATTCATGATTGATGGCAGCGCAGCATCGCTGGGAAGGTGCTCGACTCACAACGGGCATGTCGCAAGTCAAAAATCCCCAACATAGACCGTTATTCCTCTGCGATCGATAAAATCAATGCCACTTTGGGGTAATCCAACAGTAATTGTCTTACAAAGAGAGACCAGCCTTTGCCAAAGTAATACAAAATTACCACCATTGGCTCAAGGCCAGCGATGGAGATGGGTGCCGCCAAAGTCTTGTTTTGAGCGGAGAGTCAATTCCGGGCCACATTCACGTGGAGTTTCTTTTCCACACTTTTTTTGCGGAATTCCAGCGGAACCTTTGACAAATATTTTGGGCAGATTTGTCACGCGGAATTTGGTGAAGCCTCAGATCTACACACATTTCCGCAGCTAATCAGTGGTCAAGGGGAGGGTTGGTGGAGAAGAGAGCTGTGCATGCTGACATCATCACGCTCGCCCCTACCAGCTGACCCAGCCGACCAATTGGCCTTTCCGGAATCGTCTCACACATGAACACGCACAGGCTAACGTGTGTGTCTGTGTGTGACAGTTACTCCACCGTCCGCCAAGGTGTAGAACGTGTCGCGAAGCCAAAGACGGCTTTGCTATTTGTAAAAAAAACACTGTTCGTATCATAATGATACGGATGATGGAGTTTGAGGTCCTCACACACCTTCCTCCTCTGTCAGTCACGCTTTTGGCAAAACACGTTTCGGAGCTCAGGATTTTTCAGTCATTAGCCCTCAGATTTTGAATGCTCTGCCTAAAGAACTGCGCTTGACCACTGATATTCTAAAAACCTACTTATTTCCAATGCCATTTTAGATAAACTAGAGATAGTTTATTGTATTATTACGATTACATTTTTTTCTGATAATGATAACTGAAGGTTATGATGATAATGCAAAATGAAGATCCAAAGGTAGTTGACTGAGATCTGGATGTAATTTTTTGACGAGTAAAGATGAAAGACGGTTATAAACACTGCTCGGACAGCATGCGTGGATAGCAACAATTCCTAGATTCCCAAAGCACAAACAACAAAAACTCCTTAGCCATATTGGTTATTAAATAACACAAACGTACAAATTTCGATTTAAAGCTTTCGTGACTGCAGGGATTCATATTCTTGGTTCTTTCGGTAAAGTCACGTAGAAGAGAAATAATAAAATAATAAAAAATTAAACAATAAAAAGTGGCCACTTTTTTCAAATTTTCTTGCTGTGGTTTTTCACACCTGATGATGATTGCTTGTGTTGCAATCGAAACGTCGCGATAATTTTATTGTTTTTGCTTGTATTATTTTATTATTTCCCTTCTACGTGACTTTACCGAAAGAACCAAGAATGCAAACGTACAAATTGACACTGCTGCCAAGCTGCCACTGACTCACATCACCCATAGCTGCGAATTTTTTTTAAAATTATGAACAATATTGTTCGCAAAAGCCGACGTGTTCAGCCTACATGTTAAAACTGTCATTGAGCTCATCGGGCAGTGCTGCAATTGTACAATTCTGGGTGTTCGGCGGTGGCAAGCGCACCGCTGTATTCCCAATCACAAAATATGCTCGCGGCGGGTGGCGTCTGAACCAATCTGGAGGCCTCCTTCACAAATCTGCACCGACCAAATGTGGCGAAGCATGCTCAAAGCAACCGTTACCGATGTGTGCCACGGGGAATCCTTCGCACCTCTAAATTCTCAGTCGCGTCCCCTCTTCTGTGCAACGGTGTCGTAGAAAGCAGCAATCCGTGGTACAATAAAAAAAAATAATGTGCAAACTAAATACACTGCCAAGCTATGAGCCAGACTTAAAATGCTGCCAAAATGGGAAAATACCCCTGGGGTTTATAGACAAGCAGTGTGGCAAGATAAAAGGTGGGTCATTATCTTGTAATTATAACGAGAGGAAGCAGCAGCAGCAGCAAAACTGCTTTAAAAGTGAAAATTGTTCTCTCCTCGTAGCAGTAACTTAATATGCTAATTATGGCTGTGAAGTCTTCTTGGTTATTTCGGTAAAGTCGCGTAGAATTGAAATAAAATAATAAAAATAAAACATAATAAAATAAAAAAATTCTCACGACGTTTCGGCCACAACACAAGTAGCCTTCCTGTGCTGCGGCCGAAACGTCGTGAGAATTTTTTTATTTTATTATGTTTTATTTTTATTATTTTATTTCCGTTCTACGTGACTTTACCGAAAGAACCAAGAAGATGAATCCCTGCAGTCACGAAAGCTTTAAATCGAAATTTAAGGCCTGTGAAGGTTTTGGTGGTTACATAAGTAAAGTTTCTCTCTGCTATATATGTGTGTGTGTGTGCCCATATCCATTTGATCACTTCGCTGTGGATAATGAAAGAGCTCCATGCGAGAGGACGAACGCCGTTCGTACAAATAGACAAAAAAAACTCGGCAGGAAAAAAATCAACGAGTAATGGAATATTCTTGGTTCTTTCGGTAAAATCACGTAGAAGGGAAAAAAAAAATTCTCACGACGTTTCGATTGCAACACAAGCAATCATCATCAGGTTTTATTATTTTATTATTTCCCTTCTACGTGACTTTACCGAAAGAATCAAGAATATGAATCCCTGCAGTCACGAAAGTAATGAAATATTGACCGCAGGCTCCATGATTGATATGTAGAAGCATATTGAGCTTCTTCGAGTCTAGAGAGCGCTGTCCGTGCTTCGAAACGAGCAGCGCTCGGCGCTCGCTCATCTCTCTCGACGGCCTCAAGTTGGTGGATGAGAACTCTGGGGTGGATGAGAACTCTGTGGTGGATGAGAACTCTGGGTGGATGAGAACTCTGGGGTGGATGATAACGCTGGGGTGGATGAGAACTCTGGGGTGGATGAGAACTCTGTGGTGGATGAGAACTCTGGGATGGATGAGAACTCTGGGATGGATGAAAACGCTGGGTGGATGAGAACTCTGTGGTGGATGCGAACTCTAGGATGGATGAGAACTCTGCGTGGATGAGAACTCTGGGATGGATGAGAACTCTGGGTGGATGAGAACTCTGGGATGGATGAGAACTCTGTGGTGGATAAGAACTCTGTGGTGGATGATAACTCTGGGATGGATGAGAACTCTGGGATGGATGAGAACACTGGGATGGATGAGAACTCTGGGATGGATGAGAACTATGTGGTGGATGAGAACTCTGGGATGGATGAGAACACTGGGGTGGATGAGAACTCTGGGATGGATGAGAACTCTGTGGTGGATGAGAACTCTGGGATGGATTAGGAGAATATATCATACGATGTGGGTGATTGCAATGAAAGCTTACATCACACTGCAGTGCACGAGTTTGGGGCCTTCCTTTAAGAACACGTTAACACTGACCACAGGCCTCAGTCAGGCATCCCTGTGAGTGTACGCCGTCGTCTTAAAGAGGATACAGAGCGACAGAAACAAAGTTGGACGCAGAATTATAGTTACAAATCTTAATCTAGATTTGAAGTTTTCGTGACTGCAGGGATCCATACTCTTTGGTTCTTTCGGTAAAGTCACGTAGGTAGAAAATAAAATAAATTAAATCACGATGTTTCGATCGCAACACAAGCGACCGTCATCAGGTGGAACAGATACAGCAGGAAAACTGCTGACATGTTACAGATCTTGTTTGGTGGGTGACCGTTTGTAGATGTCACAAAGTTGGCACGAATACCAAACGTGAACGTGGACGTAACTTGAATGGATTACAACGCGTAACTTTCTGTGCTCAGTCTTTATTGTACAGCACGGACGATTGGTTACTGAGGCCAATAATTCCAATGTTTTTGATGATGACGTTTCGCGTTCGATTACACGAACCCATTTTAAAATGGCTCCCCACCACTAACCCCCCACGCCCTGTGGGAAAACACCGAGAAGGCGCGCTCCAGTGTGCCACGGCCGATGCCTACGATGTCACCATCATGCTGGCACCCTCGCAGAACTCCCATGCAGCGGCACGCATCGATTGTCATCGGCGGGGACGTTTTTGTTCCCCAACAGCCTTCACGCTCCCCGATTGGTCGAGCCATCCAGAGACGTTCACTACCTCGCCCGGTTTACAGGAGGTCGTGGGTTTGCTCTCGACCCTGACGATTCCTTCAATGAGCAGATATCCCCCGGCTCGACGTTCATTTGCCGTGTCCCTCGCGTGTCCCCCCACCCCCCAAATGTCCACCACCCCACCGCGTGTGTGCCCCCCACCACCCCCGCGTGTGCCCCCCACCACCCACGTGTGCCCCCCCCCCCAGGTGCGTGCGAGCTCCATCGCGCAGGACGCCGACCAGAACTACGACTACGCGAGCAACTCGGTGATCCTGCACCTGGACGCGGGCGACGAGGTCTACGTGAAGCTGGACGGCGGCAAGGCGCACGGCGGCAACACCAACAAGTACTCCACCTTCTCAGGCTTCATCATCTACGCGGACTGAGCCCGCCCGAGGGGGGCCAGGCAGGGAGAACTACCTACAGCCCGGACACCCCCACCCATGCCCCCGCCCCCCCAACCACCAACACCATCATCACCCCCCCCCCTCCTCCGCACCGCTCCTCTCCCACCGCAAACCTCGCCATTCGAGCCGCCCCCAGAATAATAAAACTCCCCCGCAGCTCAAGGCGCGTCGTGCCCAGCGTGCACGCGCAAGCGGGCCCAGCGGATTCTTCCCAGCTCAGCCTGCCTCGGCCGATCAACCCCCCCACTCCCCCCACCCCCCCCCACTCCCCCCCACCCCCCACCCCCCCCCGTTCCCCACTCACCCCCGTTGCGCGTTCATGGCTCGCTGCGAGCGTAGCGCCGGAATCAGAGCGATGAAATCGGACACGCGGCGGCATCACCGATCAGAGATTTGCCCCCCTCCCCCGCCCCCCCGTAAATGGAAGAAAGTCGGCTGGGGGGGCCGAACGGGGTGGGGGGGGAGGTGGTGTAGAGGATGGGGGGGGGGGGTCTTTGCACACATATGGTCACTGTGAAACGTGGATCAAGGTTTTTTTTTTCATCGCAATCGATTCGGCTCTGTCCATGCGGCGAAACCGGCTAAAAGTTGATCGGGGCAGCCTTCTTGAAAAAGGTCGATCCGCTGCGATCCATTGCCATCGATGCATATGGGCAATCGATATTTGTGATCGAGCAGTCGTGTGACAACCCCCCTCCCTCCCCCTGCATTTGATTGGCGAATGTCAGCAAGATCGGCGATGCCGACGCAGTCCTCCTGTTGTGCCGCTGGGCGCGTGCCGGGTGTCCGTGCTTCCTGGGGGCGATGGGTTTTTGCGTGCGCTTGGCGATGGGGGGGGGGGGGTGTTAGTGGGGGGGTGAGTAGGTGGGGGGGGTGTTAGTGGGGGTAGTGGGGGGTAGTGGGGGGAGGTCACGTCCTTGCCGATGGGGTCGTCGTTGCGGCCCCTGGCGTTGAGGATTTTTTTCGAGGGCTCGGGCGGCCGTGGAGTCGTTGGGGCTTTGGGGGTGAGGAGTTTGATCAACCACCGGTGATGTCGCTCGCAGGGTGGCAAGTTGGTGGGATGGCGCTTGATGTGTTTGGATGAAATGAGTCGTGGGGCCCGTGTGAAGTTATTTTGTGGTGGTGGGTGTGGTGAGCTTTGGGGTGGGGGGGGGTCATTGCGAGCCCTGATGCCTAAAACGTCAAATGAAGGTGAATGGGTTTGGGGCCAAGCCCACGGACCTGTACTTTCGGAGGAATGATGTGTTCCAAACAACATGGACGCTTGTGATCAGCTTACCGCAAAGAGATCATGGCAATCCCATGGTGAATACTCTAGTTTGCTAGTTTGAGGGCGTAGTCAAGGTTATTGTGAACAAGTGCTAACAACGGTGACTTTTTTGTCCGCGCGATTACTTTCATTTTTACATCTTCGATAAATGTCGTGAAAAAACAAATTGACAGGGGAAACGTATCACGTCAGCAGCCTGGGGGGTTCGTGCACGGGACAGCAGCAGCAGCAGCTGCCGATACGTGCCGATCACGACACAAAGACTCGGAATACCCGCGACCTCGTCAGTTTTCAGTAGCCAAACAGGGTTGAGCCCAAACAGTGCACACACAGGTTGTCCCAGGGCCCTGGGGCTCGGCGCTGGTCAGGAGGGGCCAGTGCAGCAATATCCATTGGCGTGTACTTGGTCTGCACTTGTAAGCTTGCCATGGCTATCGCTCACCACATTCGCCAACCACGCGCTGGCCAGCATGACGAAATGCGGTCAAATAACCACCGTGGCACAATGTGGTGTGGGAGGGGGGCTCAAAAGGGCCGTTACATGTGTACCTGGTACATAGCCTGCGGTCGTAGTGCTGCGATAACTAAAGTCAGATCAGCCTGAGATTAATACAACGTAATAATTAATTATAATCAGACAAGTGATCCAGGAATCCGACGAGATTACGTTTACTTCACTTAATGCCTAAGGTGACACCAAAGGATTTGCGTGCTCTGGCAGCCCATCCACAGTCAAACTGTGGATGGGCTGTGGGGGTGGAGGGGTGGCACCACGGTGGCGAGATGTTAACTACCTCGCCTGGTATACAGGAGGTCGTCGGTTCGATCCCGACCCTGACGCCCGTATATCTGGAGTTTGCATGTTCTCCCCGTGGTCGCGTGGATTTTTCTCCGGGTCCTCCGGTTTTTCCCTCCACATTTAGAATCAACATCACGCGTCTAGGGTATTTGGCTGCTGCTATAAATTTCCACGTGATAAGCCACTTCGTTGAGCTATCATTTGTGGCCAGGTCGCTTCTGAAACAGAGCTCTATAGCTCGGTGGGCCTGACCTGGTAAAATTAAAATAGTTTAGGATATTTTGTTTGTTTTTAAACTCCACCCTTGCCTGTCCCCGGCGAGTCTTGAGTCTCTCTGCGAGTGCGAGCCCCCATCTCCACGCAGTCCTCTCCGATGTCTTGCGTCCACCTTCCCCTCGGCCATCCTCGTGGCCTGGTCCATCCTCGTGGCCTCGTCCATCGATTTAACCATACAAGGAGGTGTCGGGGAACCTCTCATTCCTCTATCTGGACCACATCGCGCAGAGGAGACATCTCTGCTGTACGATATCTACATCATCTCTATCTGTTCACAGTTTCTAATTGATGTCGATGCTCTCTTGACTCTTGTCGAAATTCAGAATATTTCCCGTAACACGGACATCTCAGAGACTCAATTGTTATCCCTGAACTCTTCATTAAATCTAGATTGACAACTCATTTCTTCAGAACTGCTTTTTGTCTTTAGTTTGTTGTCCTTCCCCCGCACCTCTGATGAGCGCGGTTTGGTCACGTATAGTGCGAAAGAAGCTCAACATAATACATTTAATTCTTCACTGTCCACGTGTCTGCATTGTGCAATGAAATGGACGGCACAACGAGGCTCCAGGCCTCGGCCTCACCATCCACCTCCTCCACCGTGGCAATTGCAGCTTCCTGCAATTTTCAGCTTCACGTAGGCGATCGTCCGAGGAAAAACATGTGCATGAGTTTTTCTGACGCCTCGTCTTTCAACCCCACGTTCACCTCCACGACGGACACATTCCCTCTGAATATTCCACTTATGTTTCCTCAGCAACGTCCGCTTGCCTCTGGACGGTGTTGGGGTCGCATTACAGGAGCCTCTTCCCTCACCACGTTCAGTACCTTTCCCACGTTCCCCATTCACAAACTGTCAGACGATTAGTGAATCTTATTGTCCGTTCCCCCACACCTCGGATTAGCACGGTTGGCTACGTATGGTGGGAAAGAAGTTTCAACGTACATACGTCCAATTTACTTTGACATTGCACAAGCCGCTTAGACACGTTTGCTTTACGCGTCTTTGCAATATCTTCCGGAATGTCAAGTAATTAGTAATCAGTTTACTTTCCAAAAGTATTCCTTCCCAACACAAGTCACCGCAATTCACAAGCACACCGATTGCCATTTGTGGCAATACATCATTGATTGGCGGTGAGTTAAGTTTGGCAAATAAGGTTTGCTATGTTTTCAAATGTCTATTATACAATTCACAATTCGTTTCCTTTTGGGGTAGATCGTGTCTGTTATATAATACATACATTCCTTTCACAGATCGGCTTGACAGAGAAAATGTTACGTGTTATGCTTCGCCACCAGCTTCAAGGGTTTTACTTTAAAGAGTTTATTTTATTCCAAGTGCAGCATTTTTGTAATAAAAACCCATTCCAGAATTCATTGCTCACATTACCAGCTCATGTGCAAAGTTGCATTTTGCCATTTGAAGTTTAACCCAGTTGGACAGAACAAAAGCCTGCAATGGACGATTAAAAACACACACACACACTCATTTTTACCCACTTAAGCCGACTAATTAACAAATAAACGACGAATCTTAATTCACCCTGGAAAGCCTTACTGAGTCCCAAGAGTTTTGTGGGTTTTTTTTCTTTTCAGCAGGGCCTTTTGCATTGCGATGCTTGGCCAATTCCATTTTAATGAGGGTACTACTACCGCAGTGCTTCTCACTTGCGGTAACGACTCGCTGCACAAATCCTGCACACACCATAAAGCCAACGTATTGTTATTGCTACCACTGCTACTACGTATAGACCGTTGGCATGCTGGACTTGCCAATCCAGATGTTGACCGTTCGATCACCCAGCGTGGCAGTCGAAGACAATGCGAAAGTTTCTTGAATGTCCCCCGCGCGCCGCTGTCCACCCAGCGGGACGCATGGGTAGGTACACTGCAGTTGATCACTCGTGGTGCGGTAAAGTGTGGGTACTCCTATACCCTGGCCATTTTTAGGAGAGTAGGCCAACATGCCTTCTAGAGGATGCTCTCTAGAACTCCCTTCAGTCGCGGGTCTTTCCCGCTAACAGCAGAGTGAGCAAGTGCTTGCAGGCCCTCCACCTTCACCTTTTCATGCAGGTGCCATACATGTACACTCGACGGTGCCATGCGTTTACGGTGCACCAGGCTACCGGACGAGTCGTGTACTGTGTACCACACTGCTGTGTTGGTTTATGTAAGAATGGTTAACAGTGGCGAAGCAAAAAAAATAACATAAAAAAACATACTGATCGCTCGAAAGATTCAAGTAATTGGGCAGGCTTATAGCATGCGTTATCTCGCGTCAACAAGCGCTAAAATTTCCCAATTACCTTGTTAATTTGATTACATTCAATTCGAGGGACCAATATGTCAAAATTGTTGTTACGTTTACACGTTCATTGTGGAAACTTAAACGGCCAAATTGATTTTTTTCAAAGTTATTTTTTTACGTGCCAATTACTCAGTTGTGGGGTAATTGAGTGAGCAAAATGGCAAGTGGTGTAATGGAAAACTAACTGCACGTTCGGAAACACTGCTTTGCCACTTGCACATGAATCGTTCATTGTTTTTGTGCAACAATTGTCTATGCACTGCTGCTTGAGTGCCGCGTTGGCGAGATGTTAATTACCTCGCCTGGTGTGCAGGAGTCCGTGGTTTCGATCCAGACCCTGACGCCTGCTGTATATTTGGAGTTTGCGTGTCTCTCTCTCCCCGTGGTCGCGTGGATTTTTCTCCGAGTTCTCCAGTTTTTCCCTCCAGCATTTGACTACTACAAATTTCCACACGATACACCACTTCGTTGAGCTATCATTTTGCGGCCGGATTGCTTCTGCAAAAGAACAATGTAGCTCAAGTGAGCCTTACCTGGGTAGAAAAAAAGCAAAGACAAAGTGAGTTGAAACGGTCTCTAAGAGTGTACACAC